ATTTTTAGGAGTTTTAAAGATTAAAAATTAGAATTCTACCTCTACTAGCTATAATGAAATCCTGTAAATTTAATCCTAAATCAAGATTTTTTTTTTTCTTTCTAATTGATAAGATAGGCACTAGGTATTGAAAGTTGAAGTTTTTCTCTGGTTCCTTTACTTGAAATACTCAAATTGGAGCTTAATTCAAGACTAATCAAGTATCATTACTTTTTTTCATAAAAGAAAGTTTCAATCATTCTTGTATTAGGATTGTAAATGTGTTGAACCTAACTAAGTATTGAAGTAAGGGTTATCTAATTTATGTTTTTAAGTTATAATTAGTGTACTTTTTTATAATTAATTTGTATAAAAAGAGTAAGTGTTGATTTTAAATTAATTAATTAACTAATTAAAATCATTTATATGTTATTGATATTAACATATGTCAACTTTTATAATTTTTTTATGTAAATTAATTATAAAAAAGTATATTTAATTTATTATTAATATATACCCTTAAAATATACTCTCTTTGTTACACTATATTAGTCGTTTTAGTCTACTACACTAAAAGATTAAGAAAATAATTAATTATTTTTTTTATATAACATAAAAATACCCTTTTGGGTCCTAGTTGTTTTTCTTATCACTTTTGTCGATTTATCTTCCATCCACTCTTTTGTTGGTGAAAAAAATTCATCTGCAAGTCATTTTCATTCCAATCCAATTGCACTTCTAATAAGCCAAAATTTTCATTCTAATTTTCTTCTTTGAATTTTGTTCCTTCCAAAAATTGTCTACAAAATCCGACTTGAAGCTATTGAGAAAAGATGGGGTTTCACAGTTGTACATATACGAGATATTTGACAATGATTTGAAGGGGTGGACAGTGGAGCAAGAATTGGGGGATTTTATAGAAGAACATGACCAAAAGTTAAAGGTTGAAATCTTTTGGGGCGAGGGATGCAAAGACAAGAAATTTTGTGGTTCTATTGGTTTTCTTTCTAGTGGTAATCCTTAGTCATGATCTTCTTACTAACAATGGAAGAACAGAAGCTGTTGGAGGATTTAAGTAAGAAAAGACAAACTCAGCGAATTAGTAAGAGTGAGGATTTTGACTCTGAGGAGACCAGGTTGAGAAAACATGATAGGCTCAGCAAAAGTTGCAGCCATACCACCACCAAAGAAAACAAAGCAAAGGTATCTGTTAAAAGGCTTCCTTCCGGGGTTTCCATCATTGGTTTCGGTATATACAAAGAGAAAGCACTGGATGTAATTGACAGAGTTGAAACCGTCAGATAATTCAAAGAATAGTACACATCATCTTCAGCTGGCTAGACTGATGGTGATACACATTCGCATGCACTACAGTCCTAGGTCTTCTGAAAGACTGAAAGACATATACTGTATGAAATGTAAATAACATAATAGAAGTATTGCTATTGCTAGTATTTCTATCCTGCAGGCTTTCATGAGATACATGCACTGAGGATCT